ACAGGCACCTCCACCTCAGTACTCGACTCAACAACAGGCACCTCCACCTCAGTACTCGACTTAACAACAGGCACCTCCACCTCAGGCTCGGCAATTGACTCTGGCTCCACCTCAGTATCGACAACAGACTCTGACTCCACCTCATCACTCGGCTTAACAACAGAGGCCTCAACATCAACCTCAACAAATGCCTCTGACTCAACCTCCACATCAGTAGTCGACTTAACTGCCTCCGACTCCACCTCAGGCTCGACCACTGTATCTGGCTCCATAACCACCTCAGGCTCCACCTGAGTCTTCTCACGTATTCTCCGAGAGTACACGCGGCCGAACATATTCTTGCCTTTCACGTATCCCTCCTTTTCCATTTCCCCTTTGGTCACGGGAACCAATTTCGCCAATCTGCCCCTCTTCCTTCTTCGTTTTGGTCGCTGAAAAAACATGAGGCGCCTGTTATCCAACTAATACAAAGTACTATCCAGACAAGAGGCGCCTGTTATCCAGACCACACAGAGTAATATCCAACGTATAGAAACTATTATCCAGACCACACAGAGTAATATCCACACAACAGACGAATGTTATCCAGACAAGAAATAAAAATATCCAAACACTGTGCAACAGTTATCCAGACAAAACAAAGTAATATCCAAACATAGAGCACTTGCTCTCCACACTGGACAGAGTAATATCCAATACATAAAAGTAACAGATCCTTAACAAGTAAACAAACTTTTGTTCAGCCATTCCAACATGGCAATTATAACATCCACTTAAACAGAAGAAAAATGCAAAGTTCAATTGTTTCCTTGACGGCGCATAATGGCGACTCTCCAGACATTATCCCGCCTTGATTCCCATACATCCATCACTTTTTCAGTCAATGACTCCAATGCCTTAAGCTACACATATATTGAAAAACAATTTAGTTCGCTACATGCACCCATGTCTATTAACCCACGATTTTGACATGCAAAGAGAAGATCTACATACCTCATCGTCCTCAAGGGATTCCAAGTCAACATCCGCCCACCAATCAGTAGCAGGAGCTGAGCTGCTCGACCCTGAAGTCCAATCCATCCTGACACGCTCTGGACGGAAGCGGGATCTCACTTCCTCCCTTGACAACAACATGGGACCCAAGATATATTTGTCATCTACCTTGGGGATATTCGAGCACACCTTATCCACCCTTGGGTCGAACCAATAGCTGCAGGTCGGGATGGTTTTGGTGGCAAACCCTCTCACATTAAGGAAGTCTAGCAAATGGATCTACAAAAAACGTTCAGAACAGATATCAGAAATGAAATGAACTAATATCCCTAGAATGTTAACTAATATCAACAAATGAAGTAAACAATATCAACAATGTTAAAGTAGAAGTAGAAGTTACCATCAAGAAGTGGATATCTCCTAGAGGCCATTGCTGATGCCCACCCGCCCTAGCTTCAGCTTCATTTTCCTTAACCCGACCCAACTCAAACTTCAGATTACGGGCAACAAAACCACTCCAATTAAAAGTGGCAATGTCCTCCACCCTTCCAACCATGTACTCTGCATAATCGAGATCACAAATTCGTGACATCTTCGGGGCGAGCATCGAACCAAGAGCCAGCAACACAAATTGCTTCACCGCTGCTGCAACAGGTGGTCGCCTTTTCGGTGCATGATCTGGACCACCACAGGCTGCCTCTCGAAGATCCATAACTTCTACATTTCGACTACGAGTACACTCCATGTTCAGCTCCTCCTTGAACATCTCAAGCATCTTGTCGTTCGACTTGACGACATCAATCTCAGCACCAACACTAGGCAGCCCGTATACACGGGCAACATCCTCAGCTTCGATGGTAAGCACCTTCTTGTCATCCCCTTCACCGAAAATGAATGAATTGGTGCGCACATCAAACTGTGCCATCAACGAATCGAACAACTTCTTAGGAACATTTGACAGACGAAGCTCCAATAGCCCTCCAAATCCAGCCTTCTCCAACTCTTTCTTGCAGGCTTCATAGTACCTCGGCTCTTCCTTCCAGTATTTTATAACATCTAGCAGAGATTTGGTGTGGCACCGAAATCTGTACCAAGGCTTGCCTTGTCCTAGAATGTGAACTACTGGTGCACGTACTTGCGGGGCGACTTCAGCAACTTCTTCTTCTTCCTCATCCTCCTCTGCCTGTGGCGGTGGTGATGGCTGTCGTGATCGCTGTCTCTTCACGTTCGTTTTATCCCTGCACGGACAAATATCCAAAATATATCAAACAATTATCAAGGCAAATAGCAAAAAATATCACGCTGGTACAAAAAATATATCCAAATGTATCAAAAAATTATCCAGGAAAGCCACAACTAATATCATGCTGATAACAAACAAATATCCAGATATATCAAACAGTTATCCAAGCAAGTCACAACAGATATCATGCTGGAAAAAAACAAATATCCAAAAGGATCAAACAATTATCCAGGAAAGACACAACTGATATCATGCTGTTCACAAACCAATATCTAGCTTTATCAAACAATTATCCAGGCAAACAACAACAAATATCATGCTGTCAAAAAACCAATATCCAAATATATCGAAAAACTATCCAGGCAAATAACAACAAATATCAAGCTGATGGAAAACCAATATCCAGAAACATCAAAGAAACAATCCAAGCAATAAACAATGTATATCCAGAGATTTAGAGTGCACCGAAATCTGTACCTCGCCTTGCTTTTACCTCGACCTGCTCCTTGTGCAGCTCCTTCAGCTTCAGCTTCTTCTTCAGCTTCTTCTTCAGCTTCTTCTTCTGCAGCTCCACTCGCTTCAACTTCAGCATCTTTTTCTGCACGTTCTTCTACTTCGACTTCAACATTTTCTTCTTCCTCATTTTCCTCTGGCTGTGGCGGTGGTGGTGGCTGTCGTGGAGTCGGTCGCTGTTTCCTCTTTGTATTTTTAGTCCTTGCCATTGATAAATCCCTGCACATACAAATACCCAGATCCTATCAAATAACTATCCAAGAAAGTCAAAACTGATATCAAGATACATCAAACAACAACCCAGGCAATAAACAACAAATATCCAGAAGAACAGAATGCATATCTTGCTTAACAGAACAAATATCGGAATGAACACAAAGCAAATCCACAAAACCAAGATATAACATCCACAGAATAACGAACGCATATCCAGTGACACATATAAATTACCACAAAATAAATATTTGACAAAACTGATATCAAGATACATCAAACAACAACCCAGGCAATAAACAACAAATATCCAGAAGAACAGAATGCATATCTTGCTGCACAGAACAAATATCGGAATGAACACAAAGAAAATCCACAAAACCAAGATATAACATCCACAGAATAACGAACTCATATCCAGTGACACATATAAATTACCACAAAATAAATATTTGACCCACGAACCCAAAAAACAAATCCACAAATGGAAAAACCGATCGTAGCCATGAAACCCTAACTCAAATCTATCCAAACGAAAATAAATATCCATGAAGACAAATCCACAAAAGGAAAACCCAGATCAAGTCGTAGCCATGAAACCCTAACTCAAATTTGTCGAAGCCAAAATGAAACCCTAACTCAAATCTATCCAAACGAAAATAAATACCTTAGTCGCCGCCGAAATCCCGCTTCGGTCGCCACCGGTTTCGTGAGAGGAGAGGGGAACTCGCCGCCGCTTCGCTCGCCGCACCACTCGCCGCCGCACCGCTGGTCATTCGCCGCCGGTTTCGTGAGAGGAGAGGGGAAGTCGCCGTCACTCGCCGCCGGTTTCGTGAGAGGAGAGGGGAAGTCGCCGCCGCACCGCTCGCTCGCCCGCCGCCGGTTTCGTGAGAGGAGAGGGGAAGTCGCCGCCGCACCGCTCGCTCGCCCGCCGCCGGTTTCGTGAGAGGAGAGGGGAAGTGAGAGAGAGGGGAAGTGAGAGAGAGGGGAAGTCGATTTGGGGGAGAGGCAGCAGAGAGGGGAAGTCGAAGTGGGGGAGAGAGGGGAAGTGAATTGGGGGGTTTGATTTTTGAATTGTGGGTCCAGTGGGCTTGGTCAGCCATGGGCTCGACCAGCCGACCCAAACCGGGTCATCTTCCTCTACCCAAAACCAAGAGCCAACTTACCCTTGCCCACGTGGACAACAAATCCACCGTGTGAGTATATACTCACACTTTGGCCTGTGAGCAGCATAACTACATTGGTTTAACTTGGTACGAAAAGTCCATTTGATCATTAACCCTATCATCATCATGCATGACGCCATAAGGTCACATGCAAGGAACTAATTAATTCCAAAACTCCAAATATTCAACCGCCATTCCTTTAATTTGACCTACAACAGATAACTCCGAAATCTCTTCCCTATCTCACTCTCCCACAGCTCCATGACTTCGTCATCAAGAAAGTTTATCCCCAATATTGTCAATCCGCGGATCGACCCTTCGGTTGACCCACTTTGATCCTTACCTGATGGTAAAAACGGGTCAGACACACCCGTCGGGTCGACCCGTTGCAAGGTTATCGGGTTGGAAGTCACACGACATCATTTTTCAGTTTGCTTTACGAAATGCGTCTCTTTTCCGGTTTTCCTCTTCTCCTAACCGTATCTTTGAACTTTAAGTTGAACATTTGAATATTAATGTTATATAAGTGTATGAGGATTTTCACAATATGTTGAATCCAAGTACAATATGTTATTTTGGTGTTATATTATATATTATTACTCATATGTTAGATGAGATTTGACATAATTTATAAATAGATGAACAATATAATAACAAAATATAATTACTTTTTCATATATCCAGGCTAAACCGGGCTAAACTAGTTGGCCCATTAACCCTCGAACCACTTACTCAACCGGGCCAACGGGCTAAACTGGTTAACAAAACTTGTTCATCACTATAAAAGTCCCATCAACAACAAATGAATAATCCATCCCCGCAGCCAATAACACAACTAAAATCTCAACCCCCCAAAGAAAGAAGAAGCAACAATGGAAGATGTTAAGCTCCTAGGAACATGGGCTAGTCCATTCAGCTACAGAGTGATTTGGGCTTTGAAGCTGAAAGGAATAGACTATGAGTACATCGAGCAAGACCTGTCCAACAAAAGTCCCCTGCTCCTCCAATCCAACCCTGTCCACAAGAAAATCCCAGTCCTCATCCATAGCGGAAAACCCATATCCGAATCCATGATCATCCTCCGTTACCTGGACGAGTCATGGCCCGAAAACTACCCACTATTGCCCGCCGATCCCTACGAGAGAGCTGTGGCTAGGTTCTGGATCAAATTCGCGGAGGAGAAGCTGACCTCTGCCTTCGCGATCTTCAGGACTTCAGGGGAAGAGCAAGAGAAAGCGGTGAAGGAATCATTGGAGGTGATGAAAACCCTGGAGGAACATGCTTTTGGATTGCTGCTGCTGCAGGAGAAAGCTTTTTTCGGCGGGGACAAGGTCAACATGGTGGATCTTGCTTATGGTGTGATGGGTTATTGGTTGGATGCGGTTGAGGATTGTACCGGTGTCAAATTGATGGATCCCCTGAAGTTTCCTCTGTTCCATGGCTGGGTTAATAGGTTCAATGAAGCCCCTGTGATTAAGGATAATCTTCCCGATCGAGAAGAGTTGTTTGCTTACTTCAAACGTCGCAGGGAGATGATAGTTTCTGCTACATCAAGCTGAAGTAACGAGGTTTCTGAATTATGTTTCGGTCAATCAGAGTGTTCTTGGTTTTTTTTTCCCCCTGCATGTTGCGTTCTGGGTGTTGACAGTATGTCTACTATGTATGTTTTGTGGCTGTTCGACTGTAATTTCTTTCCTTGTTGAATCTGTCATTTGTCGTATAAATAACGACGGAAACTATGAGTACAAGTTTGGATTAAAACTAGTTTTCACTTTAAGCATTCATGTTGAGCTCATGCGCGTATGTATTCGAGGATACTAAAACAACGCTGAAGTAACAATCAAACTTCATGCCTACCAAACCCCACATTTGGTACCTTACAAAACCCCGACTGGCAGGCTTAAGCAACCATAGACGGTTTGGAAGCAGCTGACAACCTGGACCGCTTCTTGGCTAAGCTCTCGCTCCGGCGATCCCTCTGCTCTTTCAAATCTTGATGCAAGGAGCTTCTGGTACTAGGCAGCATCAGCATTGGCCTTTGCAACTCTCCTCTTCTTCTTCGCTGCCAGCCTTGCTCTCTTCCTTTGGAGAGTCAATGGAGTCACCAACCTCTGGATTTTAGGAGCCTTGCTCGCTTCCTTCCCATTTTTCCGGATTAAAGTTCGGCGGTAGGTATTCACATAATTTCGGAATGTACGTTGATTTATGAAAAGGAAGGTAAAGTTATTTCCGAAATCCTGTATATCCAAAAATAATTCATGTTTTGAAAATTTATTCCTAGTAAAAACTGTACTCCTTAAAAAGTGATGCGAAATGAAAAAAAAATCATAAGGTTTGGATTTTGGAGTACAAAGTTATAGTTTTTCAAGGTTATTGATGATTTTTAGCGTTGAAGGAGTAAAACTTTGTCAATATGTAATTGTTTCAATGGAAGAGTTGTAATTTGGTGATGTAGATGTTGTGCTAAATTTAGAAAACTATTTATTACTTCGGTTCGAACCCTCACTCCCACAAAATGCTTCTTTTTTTAATCTCTACTAAATAAAAAAAATTAATATGGGATGATAGTGTTTTGAACTTAGGACCTCTTTTAAACAATAAACAACTAAACAAGTTGTGCCAACAAAACTAATGTTAGTTTTGCAGAAAAAAAAAATATTATTATAAACCGCCGGGTAGGGGTGTGGTTTGTAACCAAACCGCCCCGGCCCCATGCGGTTAGCAAAACCGCCCCCTACCCGTGTGGTTTTCATTGAAATCTGCGCCCCCACCCAGCGGTTTTTGAAAATTTTGCTATTTTTGGAATTTTTTGGGGTTGGTTGCTATTTTTGTTAAAATAAATTAAAATAGTGCTATTTCTGGAAAAACTCCCAAAAGAGCCTAGATCATCTACACAAGCTAGCAAATATAGCTGAGAAGCTTTCAGAACAACTGTCAACTCCAACCGGATTCTCCTTACGCTATGTTTGGGAAGAGGTCATGTAAATGGGAGGGGTGCAAATGTGAGGGGTAAACACAGTTTCCAACACATTTGCACCCATTCGGTTAATTTGTAACAGTAGGAGGGTGCAAAACTATTTTTTCGGCTTATCCCCGAATTGGGGTGCAAGGGAAGGAAGGAGAAGGGGGAGGGGGAGAGGGAGAAAATTAATTTTCTAATCAATTTTTTATTTTTTTATAATCATATAATAATTAATATTATCAATTTCTTTTCTTATAATTATCTTTAATGTAGATATGTTCGGGGGTTGACCGTTTGACTCCGAGAGCAAGTTTATCGATGTGCATCTAGTCAAATCGAGGTCTCTTAGGTGACTCGAATTTGTGCAAGAAACTAAAAATACGATTGTGCTTATGGAAAAGGTAGCGAGGAACGATTTGGTTGACTTAATTTACTTAATTTTTAAAGACAAACATATGGTTTGGTAATAAATGAATTATATAAGTTTGGTTGACTTAATTTACTTGACTAAATAGTTTTTTTTTTTACAAAGGTGAAGATTAATAAAAAGAAATGAGATACAAATAGTTCATGGTTCAGGAGAAGTGAACCTGGGAAGAGACTAGCAACACCTGATAACAAGGCAGGAGAAGCGGGAAAAGAAACCAGAAACACCAATTGAACATAACAGAAACAGCTCCCAGGAAACAGAGGAGGCTACTGTGACATATTCCCTTCAAGCCACTAAACACAAGTGTTCTTATCAATCTTGCTATGAACCACGATCCACTCGATTATAACCTGAATGACACGACGAGCGATGATATTGCCAGGAGTTGAGGCTTCATGAAATATGCGACGATTGCGCTCAAGCCAAATATACCAGCACACCGCGTGAAGGAAGCATAAGCGAAACCAGCCTTCGAGATCTTCAGGGATAGCAGAAGGCCAGCTTCGAATTGTCTCGATAATTCTTTGAGGAGCATCCTGCAGTCCTCTGCATCTTCGGCGGATGAAGTTCCAAACAAGCTTTGCATAGTGACATCCGAGGAACATATGGTCAGCAGTCTCTTCATCCTGATAACAGAGCTCACAACGACTGCAAGTTCCCATCCCTTTCTTTTTAAATTATCGATGGTTGGAACCCTGTCGTGGAAGAGGGTCCAGATGAAGAAACAAATTTTTGGAGGGATGATGCTCTTCCAAATAGCGTCGCAGGGGAATGCAGGATCACCCGGATGAGAATCATTGTTGATACACCTGTACATAGCAGAGACAGAGAAATGCGAATTCGGTTTTGGAGCCCAAACGGGCCTCCAGGGACTACACAGATTATTAGACACACTCAAAGAATTAAGATGAAGAAGCAAGTTTTCTTTTTCTCTCAATGCACCACCTCTCAAAGAAATATTAAGTTTTAAATCCCAAACAATCGATTCACCAGAGATAGAAAACATGTCTGAGATAGAGAGGGAAAGTGGTAGTCGCTGCGACACGCGGGAAGTTATTAGCAATGATGGTACCAGGCCCCCAGCAGTCAAACCAGAAAGAAGCTTTGTTGCCAACTCCCGGGTCGATGTAAACATAGTTCCAAAAAGTATTGTATTCCTTGGATATGCATGTCCAGGGAGATCTCCCATATCCATGCTTGATATCTTAAGGAGCGCCACCAGCTGCCAGTTTTAGTAATAAATCGCCAAAGCCATTTAGATAAAAGAGCCTTGTTGAAGGCATCCATATCAAATAAGCCCAGGCCACCTTTAGACTTGGCGGTTTTGCAAATATTCCAGTTGACGAGGGGGGTTTTGTTTACATCCTCCGAGCCACTCCACATAAACCTTCTTATAATTCTTTCCTTGGAGGATGTAATTGATCTGGGTGCTTTGAATAGAGAGAAGTAGTGGACGGGCATGCTGGATAAAACTTCTTTGTTGAGGGTGAGTTTTGCGCCATAGGAGAGATGTCTAGCTTTCCAACCATCCAATCTCTTGTGTAATCTGTCAATAACTGGAGACTAGAAAGCGGCTTTAGCCGAATTCATGCCGAGAGGATATCCCAAGTAAAGAACTGGTTCATTACTCCATCTGCATCCGAAGACGTCCCCGATAGTGATCATGATGGATTTGTCGAGATTAATCTTTAGCCCGGTAACTACTTGAAAGCACACAATTGTAGCAAGGAGATTGATAACTTGGTTGTGAGATGCATCGCAAAAAAGGAGGATGTCGTCAGCGAATAGAAGGTTGAGTAACCTCTCCGCTACGATCAGCTTCGTTCATGAAGAATCCCTCAATTAGACCAGCAGACTTTAGCTTTGAAATCATGTAGGACAGAACATCCATAATGAGGGTGAAAAGTCCCAACGAGAGAGGATCACCTTGGCGAAGTCCCTTCTCAGCCGGAAAGAAACCCTTTGCCTCGCCATTGAGAATGATAGATTAAACAGGCTTGCACATAGTACCCTTGATCTAGTTGGACCATTGCGGAGGAAACCCAAGCTTATCTAGAATTTTGAAAAAACAATTCCAGTTAACTTTATCGAACGCTTTCTCAATATCGAGCTTGAAGAGGAGAACCGGTCTTCTACTTCGCTTTCTGTTGTCTATAAGTTCATTGGCAATGAGTCATGCGTCATAAATCTGCCTGCCCTTGACTGCGGCATGTTGCTGTTGGGAGACGATATCAGGGAGAAGGGGGGCCGGTCTACGCGAGAGAACTTTACTCACCAGTTTATTAAGGCTGCTTAAAAGGGAGATGGGTCTGAGATCTCTAACGTCTTCAACCGAGTCCTTTTTAGGTGCAAGACAAATAAAGGAATGCGTAACCGAGTTGGGAAGAATGCCACTGCCATGGAACTCGTTAAAGGCCTTTAGTAAATCACCCTTGATCCATCCCCAGCATTTCTTGTAGAACTCGAAAGTAAAACCATCCGGTCTCGGGGCCTTACTCCCGTCGCAATCGGCAAGTGCTTCCCAAATTTCCCGTTCGCTGAAAGGAGAGCATAGGAAAGCGGCATCATGGATACTCACTCACTGGCTCAAATACAAGCGGAGGAAAGGTCGAGCACAAATATTCTCCTTGAAGTGATCAAGGAAATAAGAGACGAGAGCTGGGGACAGAGCCTCGCTGCCCTCGATGAGAATACCATTAATGGTGATCTTGCTGATGAAGTTAACCCTCCTCTTGTAATTAGCAACCTTATGAAAGAAGCTTGAGTTTTGATCGCCAAATTTTAGCAAGAGTTCTCTAGATTCCTGTCGCCAACAAATTTCTTGCACATTAAGGGCTTTAGCAAGATCAATATTTAACTGTATTCTGCTGTTTCTTTCTTCCACAGATAGAGGCATGGACTCCGCAATCAAGTCAAGAGCCGCAATGTTCCTGAGCAGATCCTCCACCTTAACGTGGATATTTCCGAAAATGTGCTTATTCCAAAATTTGATGTTTGCTTCAAAGATTGTAGCCTTCTTTACCATCGAAAACTGTAGCCAAACCCATCAATAGGTGAGAGAAGCCATATCGGAAGACTAGTGTAAAACCTTTCATCTTCGAGCCGCATGTTCTCGAATTTCTATGGCCGTTTAATGGGCCGGCTCTCACCCCAAGAGATGGCAAGAG